GGCTATACGGGGCCTTTTGTTATTTTATTTTAAATAAACAGTGTAGCCTTCAAACTTCTCAGGTCGCAATGCTGGAAAACATTAAACAGGTGCTCGTAGTTTCTCCTGAATCACTGCTACACACATGCATCTCCATACCACAAAGCTCGTTGGAAAAAATAAAAAAAAACAAAAAGATTACCCAGGTGTGGATCTTCTTCCGAGCTTGTTTATTGTAATGGAACAAAAAAAAGTTCCGTTGAGACTATATATTATGAAATGAAATAAATAAATAACCTTGCACACATTTATAACTCAGTCAAGTTTCCTAATCAAAATCTGCCAACTACAACTACAGAGGAAAAGAGTATCCACGGAGGTGTTTGGAATCCACACCTGACTCACGCACCAGCGCAATTCGTCCAGTACGTGCCACCTGCCAAACGCACAAACATTACCAGAATTATTCATACATCAAAGCAAGAATCAAACAAAACAAACAGCTAAAAACTAGCCAACAAGTCACCGAAAAAGGTGGGAAAACAAACATTCCAGGTAGTTGTGAAGGCCAAGACTCATAATGCAACCCAACCTTATAAAAAAAATTTGAAAGTCTACTAAATTCGCAGGACAGACCTCACAAATGCCATAGGGCTCTAACAACCTCTGCAGTGCAACCATCTTGTTCAGGTCTCCCGTAAGCTGAACCAAAGCAAATTGATCAATATGATCAGCACCAAGTTACCAACAGCAAACAAATATAAATCTTATTGAAGAAACCAAGAACATGAGAAGGCCACAGCCCAATTTAGAGATTAACGGTTGGACTTCATGCCTTATTAACCCTACCACTTGAAGTAAAGCAACTGTGGCAGAATGAGATTTGGCTCTAACAACGTAAAGTGGCCCCTTACCTTACCCCACCCCACAGACACCATCTTGAGGTAATACATAGCATGTCTATTCTCTTTAACACATGCAATTCACGTTGGGTCATGGCATGTCAGGTGTATTCCCCTAATTGTATATAGGAAAAGGGCATATTCACCTCAAGGGTTATTGTGTGGTCAGAGACGTCAACAGCCTTGGCCCTAAAAATGTTGCCAATATCAAGCACATCTCTTCGAGCAACAGCATTTGCAGCAATTTTTATCAACATCAATTCCCGCTCAGCAAATGGCAAGTTGGTAAGATCTTGAACCTGAAAAGTCATCCGCCATCAACAAAGTTAGAATTTGCAGAAATCTGTTAGGTTCACAACTTACATCAAGGACTGTATTCTTAACAGAAACAGAATTACGATAATATTAGTCTTGTGGATGCTGAACTTATGAAACATAAAAAATAAAAAATAATTCCTTAACAAGGGCACAAGGAAGAAAGGTCCAAAACTATTACTCTCAGGAAGTTAAGGGTGCAAAGAAGTTATGAAGTCAAGATGAACTATCTGAGTGCTGGACTGCTGGGTATGGAAATGGATCCTCCCCCACCCTTTTATACCTTTCTCTTTCTATGCTGGGTTTGGATCCTTTATCTCTTTTCTCCTCTTTTATATCCAAGAGCAATTTATTAAGTTGCGGGGAGACCAACAGACTGGTAATACTTCATGCTCCTTGGCTTTCAACTATCATTTACAAATAACAATGACTTCGAAAGAAGGGGAGGTTACAATCAGGTGATTCAGGTCAAAACATGAATACAAGAACAAGAATATGTGGTGCAGAGCACACAACTCATGCGTATACCAAATTTGCATTAACCAAGTAGCATTAAATTTACTCATTGCATTCATCACAATTCATAAGAGATCAGAACGAATCAATTTTACGTTAATATATTAAACAAATGCATTCTTTGTAATAGTTAAACATTCTCACATCATGAATATCGGCAAGCTTATAAAGCTGCTGCACCAACTTGCTAATTGATTCGTCTGTACCAGGAACAACAGTAGTAATGCGAGAGAGCCCCTCAACTTCTGCATGGCCAACAGCTAAACTCTGGAAACGAGAAACCAGCTCAATTAAACAAATGCCTAAAACTTCTACCTCAACAGAAGACAAAGGAGGGAATAACAGCAGAAGGAAACCTAATTTCTCAATTTAATATCTGATATTTCCAAAGGATCCATAAGTCTAAAATTCGACCAAGATTTGATTAACTATTCCAGGTCTAAAAATAAAGATGGCGTATTAGAAGATAACAATGGTCAGAAGAAATATACCTGAATGTTATAACCCCTTCGAGCAAAAACGCCAGTAACAATGTAAAGAACCCCAGGAACATCATTTACAAGCATGGATAAAGTGTGTGATCGAAGTCCACTAGTCTGAAATGAGTAGCTCAACAAAAAATAAATCAACAACTATGAGGAAATTTTAAGGAAATAAACATATAAGATCTTAATTTCATAAAAAGCCTTTAGTGATGAGCTGTTCTCAGAGAAAACTATTATGCACGAGGCAGAAGTTTGGTCCATGTATTCGCCATACAACATATTCAGGGACCACATCCTAGTGCTAAATTGGTAAACCCAACTATCTGTATAAATCTAGTTGGTTCAGTTTTTGCAATGACACACCACGCTTAAAAAATAAACTTAATCTTTGTGGAATATATTTGGTTCCACTATCAGTTCAATATCAGACTGGCAATCACTCATTAATTAGTTTCCTTTTCAAATGTAAATCACATCAGTCTCTGATACGAAGTGAAGATAACAACTCATTAAGCACTTGTTTCTATTAAACTCCCTGTATCAGCTTCCAACTACGCATATTTGAACACAACTCATTGATTGTGAAATGGTATATGACTTGCATCCCATTAAAAGAGAGAAAAACCAAAAAATCAATCTTATCAATAATAAGATTACTTACATCTTCATCATTGAGAACACCCCAGTGAGCATCAAGAACTTGATTGACTGTAAAGGTATCAGATGGCTCCACGGGATAAACATCACCCTTCATGAACAAATATATAGATCAATCTACGAGTCAATAATGATTTTCCGTCACATAAAAAAGGATAGAATACATCACTGTTTCAAGATAAAAGTGGAATGATTGCATTCAAAGATGGCTCTTTCGTAAGATTTAAATGGGCTACCGAGGAACTTTCACAATGAATCTTGCATAATGAAAGACCTTATGATTAAACAGTTATATTCATTATGAAGTACATGTTTTAAAAAAGACTCCAAAAGTCCCCATTTATTAATAATTCCAATCTGTCTCAATCTCAAAATTGAAAGATGCACATGAAACAAAAAAAAACAGAGTAAAATAGATGCTTTTGATGAGGGCTAAATACATGCAAGGCTGAAGAAGTAAATACCCCCGAAGATATATCAGATTCAGCATTAGCTAATCTGCTTTCATCCCTCACAAGAGCATCAATAGGAACTGTTCTCTCAAGATCTGGATATGAAGCTGCTGAATATCGCCAAAATGGAGCAGATGCACCCAGCTTTTCCCTCCTCAAGGCAATCTACAGGCAAGAACAAGTAAACATATTGACACATGAAATACATCATTAAAAGACTATTAATATGAGATGCTAGAAGGAGAAGAAAAACGACTAGAATTCCATTGATGCTCTATTAATTTGACACCTTTCCGGTTCTTGCAACTTCTTTGATCCCGAACTTGCTAAAATTTCGTTGCAGAGCAACCATCTTCCCAGGATCTCCTGTCACCTAGATGATTAAAAAAACTAAGTAACTTGGTAAAATCAATGTATACATGCTCTCACCGAAAGGCCTACCAATAATTACCTCGATGGTTACCGAGTGTTCTGAGATATCCACAATTTTTGCTCTAAAGATATTCACTAACCACTTTATCTGGGAAACAGAAACAAAACAAAATACCTTGAGGAAACAAGCTATGTTGAATACCAAATTTATAGCAGGGATGGCTCTGTAACTACCTCGGCACGGTAACTTGGATCGGCATTAACTTTTATAAGCATTAGTTCACGTTCTACCTGCGGCTCATTGGAGAGATCTTCAACCTACCCATCACATTGTAAAAGATTTATAAAAAAAAAACTGAAAAATCAGTAAGGAAAACAAATAAATGCAGAGTAATCAACAACTCAAAAAAAAAAAAAAAGAAAAAAAAAAAAAAAACCAAAAAAAAAAAAAAAGAAGAGTAAAAAAAAACAAAAAAAAAAAAAAAAAAAAAAAAAAAAAAGGTTACAAAGAATTAGAAAATCTTCAATGATTTGGCTTAAGAATATTGCCTTGAGAACATTGACAAGCTTGTTAAGCTGCTCAATCACTTGGCGTAACACCGTTTCGGTTCCAGAGACAACTATAGTGAAGAGTGCTTTGTCCTTATTTAGACCCACAGCCAACGACTCGATGTTGTACCCCCTCCTCGCAAACACCCCTGCTATCCGATTTATCATTCCACTTTCATCCCCAACGAATACTGAAATCGCGTGCCTTCTTACCCTGCTTCATTCATTGTAAGTAATTTAATCTAATCAAAGAATGAATCAACCAATCGAATCGAATGAATGATCATTAATTATTAATCTAATCTAATTAATTATAGAATTGCATGCATACTTGGAGCGGCTGGCCGAAGGAGAAGAGCCGTTTGAAGAGAAGGCTTTCTCTGCGATTTTCTCGTCGAAGCTTCTAGCAGAGGCGGCGAGTTGCTGCTTATTGCGCTCATAGCTGTGGCTTATTGATCTCCAAGTACCACCTGAACCCGTCGAAGGAAACGCTAGAGAATCAGAGAACCCTAAGGCTAGAGGAGGATGCTCCGACGAAAACGAAAACAGTTTCGGAGAGGGATGAGCTGAAGAAATGGTCGCCGCCAATGCCATTGAGAGAGAGAGAGAGAGACAGAGATATGGGAACGAAACGAAAGAGCTGTTACTAGTTTAGCTTACCACCACTTCCGAATAACGACGCCCGCTGTTTCTAGTAAATTAGATTGACGATAATACCCTTGGGTAGCCAAGTCAGCTTTCTCGTTGTCCTTCAGTATCTTCGTTGGTCCCACTAAGAACTTGGCTGGTGAGTGACGTGGTACAAGGAAGTAACTGAGAAAGAAAACCCTAGAAGCGGTCGAATGGCTGTGTGGAGAGCTCGAGCGGCTTCATCGACCTTGTTCAACAGGCTCCTCGGCGGCCACTTCAACGCCATCAGCACCACCACTGCCTATCGCACTCTCTCCACCGGTATTTCGACATATTTCCTCATTACATCTTCCTTAACCAGAAAAAGAATTGTTGTTGTATATATATTTTTGTTTATCGTACCGTTGGAAAAATCGTATGCAGCTGAATTTTTAAATTAGCTGATATATAATCTTTACATATAGGTTGCTTGTGCTTTAAACACATTGAGGATGAGATTTAAGCCAAATTGCCGTTTGATTGCTCTGTAATGTAGGGCAAAGAAAAATGAGGTTTTCAATTTTCACCATTTCTTTTTTGGGGAACCAAAAACTCTGATTTTTGCTGCTTTATTAAGCTCACTCAAAAATTGGTTTTATGCCTGAATACTTCACTTGCAATTTGACTGTAAGTGTTGTTGTTGCTTGCTTTTGTACAAAGTGGAAATGACTTCTGACTCTACTCCAGCCCTTGAGCTAATTTGACCAAGTGGAGATTTTAAGTGAATTCTTGAACTAAGCTGCATTTTCATTACCTTCTTGCTGCCAAAATGAATCTTACTGTTAAGATATTTCCACAGATGTGGGTGGGGCAGGTAATCAGTTTTTTCACTATGATATCAATTCACAATTCGGAAGGTGCATGCCACTTGCTGATATGCATATTCATGCCAAAATACATAGCATCGAGGTGCACCCAGGTCAAGGCGGCAAGTTAGTTCGAGCACCAGGTACTTGCGCAAAGATTTTGAAAGAACCCACTTCAAGGTGTCTAGTGAGACTGCCTTCGGGTGTTGAAAAGTGGATTGATTCTAAGTGCCAGGCCACGATTGGTACGGTCCCCAGTGAAGGAAATAAGCCTAAGAAGCTCTACAAGGCTGGGCAGAGCCGGTGGTTAGGCCGCAGACCAACGGTTCGAGGAGTGGCAATGAATCCAGTAGATCATCCTCATGGTGGTGGTGAGGGTAAGAGCAAGAGTAGTGGTTCTCATGGGAAGGGTTCTCGAACACCTTGGGGCAAGCCTACAAAGGGTGGCTACAAGACTGGTCCCAACAAGCGTAGAAAATAGTGTTGTATCATTCTCTTTGCTTTGGTTTGACACTGCTGTGGAATTTAGCTTTTTGGTGAGTTCAGATAGCAATAAAAGTCGCACTTAGAAGTTTAACTCGTCATAAAATATTCAAGGTTCGTATAACTTTTTCCCTTGTCAAGTTTCTCAAAGTGTTTGTTTTTGGATGACGCTGTGTAAGTTGCTTATTAGTTTCAACTGTGACTGTTTTTTGGATACATGCATTTCTTACTTTTAAGTATTTGGAATCAAGTATGTTTGGTGTTGATTAAGTGAATCAATTTGAGCTTGAATTTGCTACAATTTTACCATGGTTCTGAGTTGATCATGGACATGATATTCGTACTTGTTTCTCTCGTGTCTGGTTTTGCAAAATCTTATTATGTATGATATAGGAAATTGATGATAAAATTGGATGTTGATGTTCAACATGCTATTTTGTTTTATTTTTATGTTTTTAACTTTCTAAGATGCATAAGTCTTGTCGTCAGAGAAATCAGAGATGTTTTTAGTTTAGTTTGCCTTGAGAAGTAACAGGTACGTACGCATCAAGATATGTGACGGGTTTGGAAATCATTGGCCTTGTTTGAATTTTTTGATGGGGGTTGTAGGGAGGAGTTGTAGTGAAGGGACTCTGTGATGAAAAACACTTTTGACTGGATAACCTTATTTGATTTGATCTCACGCATGATGGTGAAAGTAAGTTTAACTGTGCTGTGTCTCCTATAGTAACGTTCTCTAAGTTTACCTGTGCTGCCTACCCACACTGAGGAGATTATATAGAGAGTTAGTTGTCATTGTTTGGTAATGTTCTCTCACACCCAAGAAGACACTTGAAATTGGATATCATCTTTTTCTAATCAAATAAGGTTTAATTAATTGGCTTGAATGGTAGTGTGGTTGTTTGGAATATAAAAATGGCATTTGAGTATGAGTGGTGGAACTTGTTGGTATGGTAACATGAAATTATGCCACGTACCTTATATGTATGGATTTATTTTATATAGTTAAGACTGTCTTCTACTTATTAATACTGGAGACTGATCTATTCTATTCTAATTTTGCCTTTTATTCGTCAGTCAGATTGTATTACTTTTCATGATGAATTCATAATTGATATGGTTGCTTTCCAAAGGTGGGTCTCCGAGCAGTAACCATCAATTTCAGATTTCAGAATTCAGAATTAGGCAGGCACTAAAGTTTCATTTAAAAGTAATCAGAATTAGGCAGGCACTAAAATCCTAAAATTCAAGACGTTGAACATGGTTAAGATTAGGACGAGATATGGTTGGATTTTCCTCCGTTTGGTTTGGTGGATAGCGATAACATAGAATAAGATTTCTTTTTCCTTTTTTATTTTTTATTTTTTATTTTTGGTGGTGGAATAAGAATTGATGGAATTGTCGCGGAGTCGGATTGGACTGAGTCGAGTCTCAATAATTGCTCAATCGTGTTATTAGGTTTAATTAATTATATATTCACATTAAAAAGAAAGTAGATGAGAGAGAAGAAAGTTTGGAATCAAAATAAAGTGGATGAGACCAAAAAAAAAAAAGGCAACTTTAAAGATTGTTGTAATCCATTTTCAGACTGATTGTTTCATGAATCATGTGGATCTGGATGGATGGATGGATGGATGGATGATGGTCGATAAAATTGTTTACACCGCATAAGCATCTTTTTCTCAACAGTATCTTTGTCATTTGATGGACACTGATGGTATGCATATTACCAACCAATCGTCCTTCCCCTTGTTCAGTCGGTGATAATCCTCCTCTCCTCTCCTCTCCTCTCCCCTCCCATTAAAAATTTAAAATTAAGAAAAGAGAAGATGTTGATGATGATAAGTGACAGCTTGGTTCAACTTGTGTGCAATTAATCCAAGGTTTGACCTTGTCGGTCAGATCCATTGACCTACAAATTACAATACAAGTGGACAACTGATGATCGACTCGTTCAGCTCCAGCTCGGGCGATATTTTATTCACTCCCATCGTCCCATCCGTATACGGCCAACAAACAAGCATGTCTGTAACCCAAAAACAAACAAACAAACAAGCATGTCAAAATCCCTTTCAATACACACTTGTAAGTTGTCTGATTCTCACGCTCTGAGTCTGAGAAAGCAAAAATAGCTAATATATGCATAACTTATCCCTAAAAAGAAAAGAAAAAGATAATCCAACCACCCAACCACCGCCAGATATTCATTCATAGCCAGAATAATAATATTAGTACGAGTATTTACCCTATTTAGTATTTGCAAACAAAGCAAGATTCAGTTTCAGGATGAATAATACTCTAATTACGTGAATAACAGAAACTGAAGCAAACTGTAGCATTGCCGCGTCTTACACGCCCAAAGAATTTCAATTATTTTCTACATTAAAAGAAAATAAATCTCCAACGGCTTTTCCGCGGCAGTGTGTGGATACTGGAAACAACAAAGAAACCACACCACCACCGTTCCCTCAATTTCTCTCTCTACTTGTTGAATGCGCGCCTCACTCGGATCTCAACCATCTCTCTCTCTCCCTCTCATTTTCTGAACCCACAAACTCACACCCTCTCCTCCCTCCTCCTCCTCCTCCTCCTCCTTACCTCCTCCATCGGCATCGAGAGCTTCACCTCCTCTGGGCTCATCCCCATACAAGCTCTCGATCCCGACCACACCCGCCACCACCACCACCACCATTCATTCATTCCTTCATTATTGATTTCCACAACTTGATCGAAGAAGAAGACGAATCTCCTCCTCGTGTCATGAAAAAGGATGATTACGCGTCGCTAGCTAGCTGCCATCTATCCTGTTATTCTTTTTGCTGAGTGAAACGTTAATATTAACCGCAGCTACCTGCTGCATGCGCCTAATTGAATTGACTTGCAATTGCATTTGCAATTGAAATACTATAAGATTGCAATTGCAATTGCAATTGACTCAGAAAGAAAGAGTAATTGCATTAAATTGAATTAGAAATGGAGCACATCGCGGCGCAATTGAAGCGAGGGATATCGCGGCAGTTCTCGACGGGGTCTCTGCGGCGGAACCTGAGTCGCCAGTTCAGTCGCCAGTCGTCGCTGGACCCGAGAAGGAATAACTTGCGCTTCAGCTTCGGCCGCCAGTCCTCCCTTGACCCCATCCGCCGCAGCCCCTCCCACGACGATGAAGACGAAGCCGATCTCTCCGTCCCCGAGAATCTCGACTCCACCATGCAACTCCTCTTCCTCGCCTGCCGTGGCGACGTCAACGGCGTTGAGGACCTCCTCAATCAAGGCGTCGACGTCAACAGCATCGACTTGGATGGCCGTACGGGGCTCCATATAGCCGCATGCGAGGGTCACGTTGACGTTGTTAGGCTCATGCTTACCCGCAAGGCCAATATCGATGCTCGTGATCGCTGGGGCAGTACGGTACTACTTCCATTTATATTATACTCTTCTTCTTTCTTGCCTGGTCTGGTCGGCGATCAATCAATTATCCTTCCGATTGATTATAAAACCTCTGCCTCATCCTCCTACGCTGCTATGAATGCAGATGTTTTTTCTTTCTTTCTTATGTTTAATTGTCGATCAGTGTTTGTTTAAATTAATAAATTGTCATTAGATTATTATTGATATAAAGAGAATGAAGAAGAAAAACGCATGTTTGCAGTTTCCATATTATTATTTATATATTATAATTGGAGGAAATTGAATATCAAGTGTGCTCAATGTGGACAGGCAGCTGCTGATGCTAAGTATTATGGGAATACAGAAGTTTACAATATTCTCAAGGCACGTGGAGCCAAAGTACCGGTATAGTCCTATCAATTTCTTTCTTCTCTTTCCAGGCCTGCCTGCTGGTGGATGCAGACTCACCAATTTTTTTTCTCTGTTTTTATTTTTTAGAAAGTCAGGAAGACACCAATGACTGTTGCAAATCCTCGAGAAGTTCCAGAGTATGAGCTCAATCCGTTAGAGCTTCAAGTTCGAAAGAGTGATGGTATCTCAAAGGTTGTCCCCTTTCTCTGCTATTTATAGATTCCTGCAGCCCTGGTAGAAATGGTATGTCATGTCTCTAGTTTTAGGGTGACTTGAAGGCAGTTTCTCTGCATTTCCGTCATCATAAGCAATATGAGAAAATTGAAAGTCTGAGTCCCTTATTCTTGAACTGATTTCAAAGTGTTCACTGACAAAGGTCTCTTTTCCATCATTATTCTAATAAGCTTTATAATATATCAGCCATATCAGATTGACCTTAGGATTTGCTAACTTTTTCAGAAGAAATTATGCATGCAAAGACAAAAATTCTTTCTTTTCTGTACCAAAATAAAAAGTTTTGCCTTCAATATTAAACACTATCATACATATCATGGACTGGAAACTCTTAATTTCCTGAGAAGTTCACAATTTATCATCTTCTAAATAAATGAGAAACCCTTGCTGTTTTGATGAATCTCTAGAGGAGACAAGGGCTGCATGCAATTTTATCGGGGTAGAGCTACACTACCCAAGGATTTCGTTATTTTTAGTGCCTTATCAAATATATGTTTAATATATTTAGACAGATTACAGATATGTTTCTCTCTCCACCTCAACAGGGAACGTATCAAGTGGCTAAATGGAATGGTACAAAGGTTTCTGTAAAGATACTTGACAAGGAAAGCTATTCGGACCCTGAAAGCATGTATGTCTCACATCACCCTACCCCCATTTTTTGCCCAATTATCTGTGTCTTTAACAATTAACTAATAACTAATGAACTCATGCAATCTACTATCTAGTATCTGTTAGCATAACTTTGGGTAAAACATTCAAAATAGTGGTGATGTAGGTGATGTAGTATTATACTTGTTTCTAATATATAAATCATATATTCTTGTTTTTTACCCCCAAAAAAAAAAAAAAAACTCATATATTCTTGTCGCTCTTTGAACTGCTCCTTAGTTAGTTAGTTTCGAAGCCATTATTAGTTCAGTGATATAGTGTTATAGACTTCTATGATACTTTTTGTGATACATACTTTTTTTTTTTATTCTTCATATTTTCTTAAATCAAACAGTAATGCTTTCAAAACTGAGCTGGAGTTGTTAGAGAAGGTTCGGCATCCTAATGTTGTTCAGTTTGTTGGTGCTGTTACCCAAAATATACCCATGATGATTGTTTCAGAGTATCATCCGAAAGTAAGCTCTCTCTCTCTCTCATGCACATGTGCATACACCAAAATTTGAGTTGAAATCTACTGTAGACTTTTTAGTGCCAAATAGAGTGGTTCTGATAATGTAGTGGGATGGCTGGGTACACACCATGAAAGATGTTCCATTTTAGAGGTGCATACATTTATGTCGTCAGTCATGATTAAGGAACAGACCAATCCATTTGGTTGATAATGGAGGACTTGTGTTTTTGTCGTAGTAGCGTATGTCATGAACATGCACACATACATTTATATACTTAAATATTGTAACCATGGTTTTTCAATGCTTTGATGGTGATCTTTCAGGGTGACTTGGGAAGCTATCTTCAAAAGAAAGGGCGCTTATCCCCATCAAAAGCCCTAAGATTTGCTCTTGACATTGCAAGGCATGTACATTGTTTTTTCTTCTACCAATTATTCTTTTAAAAGCCTTATGGGGTCTTCATTCGAATAGAGATTTCACCCTACATACATCATAGATGTGCTTATAAACATTTCAGAAAGTTTGTCGTTTATAAAACAAGCACATAAATCTTATCATATGATTCATACCTATGAGTACCTCAAGTTTGTTTATCCTTCTAACACTTCTGTAGCTTGTTTTGGCTTGTATACATTATGACATTTTTCTTTTCTTATTCTGTTTCCAGGGGCATGAATTATCTTCATGAATGTAAACCAGACCCAATAATCCACTGCGATTTAAAGCCAAAGTAAGACGACCAAATGCATAAGTTGATGTAATTTTTGTGACAATTGGCTATTGAATTATTATGGTTCTGGTCAGTATGTACGGTTATTTAATATTTGAAATTTCGGTAAGGTGCCAGAAATATTTTGCTCGATAATGGAGGTCAATTGAAGGTAGCTGGATTTGGCTTGATAAGGTTGTCAAAAATTTCACCTGACAAAGCAAAACTAGCACAGCCTTGGGCTGACCTTTCAAGTAAGTTCTTGTACTCTTCCTGCCTTGGATCCATCTCTCACACTTGCACTCTAAGATAAAATTATCCTTGTCTTTGAGGATAGAAATTATATCTTGTCTCTTTCATTGTAGGTTTATATGTGGCACCTGAGATCTACAAGAATGAAATTTTTGACAGAAGTGTGGATGCATATTCTTTCGGTCTCATATTATATGAGGTGTCTTTCCTTTTTACTATCTTCATCATGTTCTAAACATTAATTCATTGTCAGTTTAGCACTGCTAAATGATTTTTTACTTTCCTGGGGTTAGATATGCTGACTCTTGTTTAAATACATCACATACTCAAGTAAACTCACATTCTCCCCAAAACACTTCTGTGTCAATGTAACACTCGTGCAGACACTGACTTTTGATTCTGATTTTAAAACATTTGTGGTTTTGGGGCACTTTGTGTGTGGCTTTTGCTTTCTACCTTTCACGGAAGATGTTATGCGGACAACAATAACATGGTTGTTTATCAGTTGGAAATGAAGTGTTAAACTTGTTCCTTGTTTTTCTTTATATGGGTGTAGATGATTGAGGGAATACAACCATTCCATCCCAAGCCTATAGAAGAGGCTGTGAACCTGATGTGTTTGGAAGGAACAAGACCGCAGTTGAGGACCAAATCAAAAAGTTATCCCCCTGTACTAAAAGAGTAAGTTTGATTTCAATATAAGTTATCAAATTGTTTACAGCTTAAGGTATTCCAATTTATCAGTTCAGATGTCTGCTTTTAAATTCAGTTCAGCCCAAATTATTGGGCAAGTTGATGGAAGTTTGTTGATCCAATTATACGAGCCCCCTTTTTATTTTTTATTTTTTGTCGAAATACAAAAGCCATTTAACAACTCAAAATAAAGCATGTAATGCCCTAGACACCTGGACTTTGTTCAGTTGGCATCCTGTTATCATCTGTTTATTCTTTTCCTTGCAAGATAGCTTATCAAAATCCAGGTTCGGTATGGATTTCATTTTTTACTTTGAAAGAAGAGAAAACTCTTATCTGTTGTATCCTTCATGGACTAATAAGATCACCAGTACGATCACCAGTACCTTTGCAAGTCACAAATGATCTCAGTGACCGTCATTGGGAGATTTATCTTTTCAGAAATTTTAGTCTTCTTCTAGTCTGACATATATAGAGGAATTCATGTCAAGTCATATCTTGAGGTTTAGCATCATCAGGGTAATGTCGAAAGTTTCTAGTTTTACACAATATTTGACTGTGAAGAGTATCTCTGATGACTTACTTAGTATGTTGCAATAATTGTTTCTCATTATTATATATGAAAGAAGGATTTTGATGCTTAATTGATGATGCCACTGCCACTATGGTATGCGTGCAGGTTGATTGAGGAATGTTGGGATCCAGAACCTGTTGTTAGGCCAATTTTCTCTGAGATTATTGTGCGGTTGGACAAGATAGTTGCAAATTGCTCAAAGCAGGGATGGTGGAAAGACACATTTAAGCTTCCTTGGTACGTCTCTATTCTAAGCATATCCTAAGATGTAGGTTTCATGTACACATTAAAATGAAGGGGAGAGAATGTTGCACAGACAATATCGAAGTTTCTGTATAAGTCAGTCTCAGAGTGAGATGCGTTTTGGATGAGACTATAGATAATATGTTAGTTGTTATAGCTTGTTTTTCATTTTCTGACGCACTGTAATACATGATAATATGATTGGATTGGATTGGATTGGATTACATGCAGGAAATAAATAAGAGGCAGTGAGTTCAGTTCCATGGGAAGGAATGCGAATATAGTAAAGGACTTGGGGGGTAGACTCAATCGGTGGTCTGGGGCTTTGGATTTGGACAAATGAATTGGGTCGTCAGCATAGAGAGTTGCATATTCTTGGTTTGCTTGCAATGCGAAGGAGCTGAACAGTTCCTTTCTTTCTATGTATCAATCAAATCATGTATGAAAAAGTATTCTTGATTATAGATCATTTGTTTACAAATTACGTACGCCGCAGATAATAATGTACTCCTCCTCCTCCTCGTGAACCATGAAAATATCATTGCATCCCAATGAATGAATCCCTTTGATGACCACACTTGACTTTGCAGTTGTTGAACAAGTTTACGTACTCCTGAAATAAATTGAAACTTGGACAAGTGTTTGAGTGTTGGTGGAGGATTAATGAAAGCGCATTCTAATTTTTATCTCTTGTAATTTCCACATTGTCACGAGCTTGGTTGTAACTTGAAGCCCCCCTCCTCTCCCTCTCCTCCGGGCGGTATAAATATTAATAGCCTTGTTTGTTTCAGGTCCATTTCCATTCTACATGAAGGAACAGAAGCGATTCATTTCATTGGAATTATTTGCTTGCCTTGTCATGGAGATTGAAAATCCCAATCAAAACGGGTGAAGTGTGTGTGTGTGTGTGTGTGTGTATGTATATGCTGGCCCTTTCTTTCTTTCTTTTCAAAAGCAAGCTTGCTTCCATTATTCCATATATTAATTGTTGTTGTAATGGTAGTAAGGTAGGGTAATTAAGGTAGCTTCAAGGTGAAGAGGAAGACTAATAGAAGTACTAGAACCAATCCAAGGTCTTGCTTGTAAGACTGCTTTGCTTGCTACCTTATCACTAAGTTAACCCCTCCTCCTGGCCTGGATCATACTTTATTAATTCATACTTGTATTTGACGGCACAACACCAAGAAAAAACCCTACAACTGCACAAGTGGTTGGAGTGGGGTGGGTGTGGACAGTGGACATAGACGTTATTATTGATAAAAAGAAAAGAAAAGAAAAGAAAAGTAATATATATCATAGAGGAAGGGGTAAAGAGTGCAGTGGTGTGTGTTATTAAGAAAAACAGAGGCTTGACTTGAGGCACAAGCCTAGCCTCGAGTGTGAAAGAAATAAAGAAAGAAATAAATAGAAATGGAGAAAAGGGCTTTGCAAGAAGAATAGTTTTGGTGCAGTGCAGCTCTGGGTAATATAATCATCAGATTAGCTCTTTCTTTGCTAGTACTAGAACGTGCACTAGGGGCAGGCGGGGGGGGAGAAGGGTGCCTGTGACAAAGACTCCCCAACAATAGTCATATATATTTGTTGTATGGTTGGCCTCCTGCAGTATCATCCTTGTCCACGAGACCAAACTCACTCATTATTTAAACTTTAAAGAAAAATTCAACTCCTTAATTTGTTTATTCCCATTTCCTTCCTTCCAAGTTCAAGTTCCAACTTAACTTTAATTTTCACACCCACCACACCATACTCTTCTCTTCTCTTCTCCGAAGTCCTTAACCTAACTAGTACTAGTTAAAATATATACGCCTATGGGGATGGGGTGGCTTCAGTCCCTCGTCTCCCCACTGAAGAAGCTCTGGGATCGTCTACACTCGACCCACAGAAAGCGTAATTCATTTCATTCCCATTTATCTTTTATCTTCCCTTTTTTTCTAGATGCATTACATTTGCCCCTGATCTCTCCATATATCTCAATTCAATTCTGTACTGATATTGGTTTACAGTTTTTTCTTTTCTAAATCCTGTTTGTTTTTATGCTTTTTTGCTTTGAAATCGATCAATCAATCAATCGCATTGTCTTTAATAAATTTGTCATCTGTTCATGTATGTATGTAATCTCTCATTTGACAATTAATGCAGGTAGAGGGATATATATCTTGTACAAGGATGTGAGATCCTGTCCATGCGAAGATGTGCATGTCCTCTGGTCCATACTGGTTGAATCACACACTACACCACCACCAGCTGCTGCAGCGTTGCCATCAAAATGAAATTTAGTTTCTTCTTCTTCTGTGGATGTGGTCGTCCTATTATTAACATAAGCTCCAAAAATAAGATGATCTTTTTATTTTCTTGTATGTACATATGATTATATTTTCACTACCTTCACCTTATCTATGATTACATAGACGTTGATAATCTTATGATATTCTTCGCTTTCCTTGCTTCATTGTATCGTATCCGTATGTATCATCACACAAAGCACAGTTTCTCAATTTAATTAACCCAAAGATATATTACTTCCCACTGGAAATCATGCTTTCAACTTAACAAATGAAAAAAAGAAAAAAAAAAAAAAGTTAGAATTAAAAGGGGTGTGGTGTCACTGGTGTCGGGTGTCTTAAGTAATTTGCGTTACCTCGTCTATTTTGGGCCCGAGTTTAAGCACTCGGAATCAGTTGGGCTTGGCTTCTTGGAGAGCGGAGGCCCAATATATCCACCGCAAGTCTACTAGTAGTAACCCTAAAACCCTTTGTCTTCCTCCTTGGCAAACGCGCAAACAAGAGCGGAGGCGCAGACTCTGAGATTAGAGTAGACACGGCTATGGCGGATACCAAAGCGGTCACGATCCGTACGAGGAAGTTCATGACCAACCGTCTTCTCTCGAGAAAGCAATTCGTAAGTCTTCTAGTCCTGTTTGATCAGCTAGAAAATACGTAGGAAAAAGAAGAAAGAAACTAACCAAAACAATCCTATGTTATAAATTGAATTTCGAACTCGACCGGTCTCCGATCTGGAATAGTGAATCTAGCGTAGTATGTTAACACAGAAATGGTATATTAACTTTTAGTGTTTTTTTTCGGTGTAGGTTATCGATGTCCTGCATCCTGGAAGACCGAATGTTTCCAAGGTTTGTTTTCTGTCTTTGAGCTCTCGCTTTCTTTTTCAATGGGCCTTTGATTTTCTAATGTTAATGTTAACATTTCACTACTCGAATCAAAACGATAGCTTTGTTATGCTAAATGTGCTATGTTATTTGTAAGTTTAAAGCTTAGACAATGGTTTGGAGGTTTGGCTTGCACTGTATAATCAACCATTTTTAGTTTCACTATCTATCTATAATCTTCCTTTAGACGTTATTGATACCAGCATCTTGTGCTACTCTAATCTTTCTTTAAATATTGTGAGTTGTACATTCTTCTTGCTTAGTGGATTGTTCTGTCGGTTGACAATAATTTTCTGTTTCCTGTCACAATGAAGGCGGAGTTGAAGGAGAAACTAGCAAGGTTGTATGAAGTGAAGGATCCAAATTCCATCTTTGTTTTCAAGTTCCGCACCCATTTTGGAGGGGGCAAATCCACTGGTTTTGGTTTGATCTATGATTCTGTTGAGAATGCAAAGAAGTATGAGCCAAAGTACAGGCTGATCAGGGTAACTTTACTTTCTTTTCAATAGCCCATTAGATGTATAGTGCATTTTTTGATGCATAGACCTATGTTTATCTATATAGTCATTCAAAATGTGTGTTGATTGGATTTTATTTATTTATAGCATGAATTTGATACAAAGTCCCTTTGAGGCTATTCATTAACTGTAGAGATCAACTGTTGACCGGGTTATGAAGGGGGGTGCATCTGTTTTGAGTCTGCTGATTAGTTTATTTTGATCCTCTTTCACCCTCTGTCGAAAGATTTTATGGAATTTGAATGAGTCCATTTGGCTGCATGTGAAATATATGACTTCTGCTTCGGGCAAGTATTGGCTTTAAATGCTGCAAAAGCAGGCTTTGCAATCTTTCCCAAGTTAACAGTCATTGGTTATGCGTCAAATGATGATGCTCTGATTTCAGTGAATTGGTTTCTTTTATTTGTTGCATATGCATCTTCTTGGGGTAGTTTAACAATCACTTTTTGATTTGGCTTGAGATGCGCATGTCCTTAGGGGCATATCTCTTGGATCTTTATAAATCTCTCTCTCAAACTCAACCCTGGGTACTTTTGCAGAATGGACTGGATACAAAGGTGGAAAAGTCAAGGAAGCAACTCAAGGAAAGGAAGAACAGATCCAAGAAGATCCGCGGAGTAAAGAAGGTAATGAAAATTGTCATTAAATTTGTCGGCACAAGCTAAGCTTGCACTATTTTACTTTTTGGAGCCTTTGTATGTTTCCAGTGTCGCAGTGCCTTCACTCTTTTGTTGTGACGTTTTCTTGAATTGCATTGTTATGTGCAGACCAAGGCTGGTGATGCTGCCAAGGCCGGGAAGAAGAAATGAGCTTCTTCTACGTAGTTTGGTGTTTGCATGTGTTCGCACCATGTTTCTACATCAACCTGTGTCTCATTCCCCTTTTTCTTTTGTCTCACTGAATATAAAAAGTTTTGGATATTTTAATTTTTACGTTTGAGTTGAGGCTAATTTTCTGATTTTTGTAGCATTTTATTTTTGGATTTTCTTATCCCCATTATATCGACTGCGTTTTTTGACTTTGAGTGGTGAAAGGAGCCTACACAGAATCTCGGAATGAATATGCCAAAATGCGTCCATTGTAGTTTTTATTTGCGGAATTGGTTGCAAACGAAGATTAGTCATGATATGTTTCTTTTTATCGCCACTAATACATTTAGTCACATAATTTTTTGTTTTTGTTTTTGTGAAAATTTTAATTAATTGTAAACAACAGAGAAGACTCGACAGGGTTTTTCCTAAATTCCCAATATGCAAGTCACAGAAATGTCGTCAAGAAAAAATTAAAAAAATAAAACAAAACTGCTCCTGGGCTCCTCGCAAATAGAACTAAATTTGATGTAGTGAGACGAATTCTTATCGACAGAATTGCTAGCGCCACTAGTCTTGTAATTTTGTTACTTGACGGCGCCATTTTCTTGTCAAACAAGTTGGATATATTTTTTTTTTTTTCTGGTTTGGTTTGCGCAAAATGGCTAGAGGATAAAAATTTGGTTGGTACGGTCAGTTTTGGTTCTCTTTGAAATTATTTATTATATTGTTATATAAACCCCTAAAACCCCTAAACACCTAGCTTTCAAGAGTTTCAATTTGACCTTCTTCTTGGAAATCATTTCAATTTCAATCCGTTGGTTTCTTTAAAACACGAAACGCCGCGAGCCCTTGTGGCATCGTAGCATTGTTTCTTTCTTTCCCACAGTTGATTATGTGTTTCAGTGGTCATTGGCAAATTTCCAGGGAGATCTGAAAGTGAAATTGGGAAATGGCTTCCAGAGCAATGTTGAGAAGGAAGAGAATCGTCACGGACTATGTGACGGCTTCGTCTCGCACAACCCCTGGGTTCCAGTGGCTTGGGCACTACCATGGTTCTCAGAAATCGGAGTCCAAGGGTTTCAGCAGCATCATCATGCATATGCATAGGGGTAACAATGATGATGGCGATGATAAAGTTTCAGTAGCAAAAGACGAATTTAGGCGATTAGGGTTCATCTCAGGGACAACGGTGGGTCTCTCTCACCGATGGATGTCACAGTCGATTCGAAATGCTTCCACAGCTGCCACAGCAGCAGCGGCAGCTAAACAAACGGAACCGATTGATGATGAGGAGAACGAACGTCTGGCTGCCAAAAAGAAAAAGCAGGCTTCTCCAGAGGATTGCGATCAAGCTGTTCAAGGTTTGAGTACTGCAAAAGCCGCCAAGGCCAAAAAGTTGCAAGAATCTCAGAAGGACAAATCTGCCAAACCCATGTTGCAGAAAGTATGGGCCACGTTCTTGGGGATTGGTCCTGCTTTGAAAGCTGTGGCTTCCATGAGCAGGTTAGAATGTTTAATGGGGTTTTATCATTTCATTCATTTCCCGTACATTATCTCTTTTATTCACCATGGTTTCATCTTTGTTTGTTTTGCAGGGAGGACTGGGCCAAAAAACTTGTTCACTGGAAAACAGAGATTGTGTCAACATTGCAGCATTATTGGTTGGGTTTTAAGCTACTGGGTGTTGATGTAAGGATCTGTTCAAGATTGCTGCTAAAGCTTGCCCGTGGCAAGACTCTCTCTAGAAGGGAGAAACAACAGCTAACCCGCACAACAGCTGATATTTTTAGGCTAGTTCCCTTTGCCGTTTTCATCGTTGTTCCTTTCATGGAATTTTTGCTGCCAGTATTCCTCAAATTGTTCCCCAACATGTTGCCATCAACTTTTCAAGACAAATTGAAGGAAGAGGTAGGGATTATAAATTTCTAATGGTCTTAGCTCGAACTCAGCGTATGTTACTTGTTCTGTAGCTTTCATCTCTGTATTCTATTTCCTCTTCTTTAGGAGATACATGTACACAGTTTATTTCGTATTCAAATATAGTTTGTTTCTGGGGCTTTCCATTCTCCCCTTTCATTGCAGAATGTTTGATTTCACCTGAGTTTTCAATGTGTAGGAAGCATTGAAAAGGAGGCTAAAAGCAAGGATAGAATATGCTAAGTTCCTTCAAGAAACGGCCAAGGAAATGGCAAAGGAAGTTCAGAACTCAAGGAGTGGAGAAACTAAGCAAACAGCAGAAGATCTTGATGAATTTTTAAACAAGGTGAGGAATTCAGTTTCATTGGTCTACTTTCCGTGTTTTCTTTCTCCAATATTTTCTGTTATGCTTACCTGTCTATTTCTAAGTGTAGGTTAGAACGGGTGCACGGGTTTCTAACGAGGAGATCTTGGGGTTTGCTAAGTTGTTTAATGATGAGCTTACCCTTGATAACATCAGCAGGTTATCTTTCATCATGATTGCTTAACATTTTACTGTTTGACTGTAATGCGGACGTAATTGTGAGTGAAGTTAATGACTCTCTGTTTTCTGTTTCATTCAGGCCTCGGTTAGTAAATATGTGCAAATATATGAATATCAGTCCTTATGGAACAGATGCATATTTGCGATATATGCTCCGAAAAAGACTACGTTGGTGAGATACGTATCTTTCCATATTAGATGTACATTATTTTGTTGTAGCCTGCCTCCTTTAGAAACAAGTAGTAAAACATAGTCAATGTAAAATCAAAGCTATTTATTAGGCTCTTCACTCTGCCTTTGTTTAAGCATGATTTTTAGAAAAATTAGACTGTTGAATGGCAAGGTGTACTACAGAAGGTAACATGTATGTACACTGTTCGTTATAATGCAGAGTGTGGTGCTTGATTTATCCTTTGTGATCCTACTTACGAGTAGGCAAGATAATTTCAAAAACCTCCTTCTATAAAAATT